ACACACACACACACACACACACACACACTCACACACACACCCTTCCTCTCTTCATCTCTCTCTCCTTTTGCCTCCAACTGGGATGCCTCTATAAAGTACGCTCAAACATTTCCCTTGTTCATCCCACGTTCACACAATTAACTTCATGTCAGCCTCTCGTAGAGATAAAAAATCTTTGATACTCTAGCTAGACAAGCATTATCAGTTTCTTTATATTTAGCCCCCTGGCCCGGCCTGCTCGAATCTGAGTTACTTCCGTACAGTCTAGCCTGTTAACCACATATGATTATATATGTAATCTTAAGATCGACCGTCTTTGTTAGGCCCATTCCCTGCTAATATATTATACAGTGCCCATTTAGTTTTTCTCTCAGTTGTTCCTGGGAAAGCCCAAGAGGCGAAACGTTGAGCTTTGTCAACTAAACTTTAACGTTAAACATTTTATATTGTTATGCAATTTTTGAAGGAATTTCAAACGAGACTCTCCCTCCTACTCTACTTCCCAAACGATGATGATGATCATGATGATGATGATGATCATGATGATGATGATGAAGATTTTTTTTCGTTTCCTCAATGGGCCTGGCGGACTCCACAAAGAAATCTTCGAGCGAGAGCGAGGCTCTTTTTCCGCTCCATTGTCAATATGCTTAGCGGCACCTCCACTCGTCCAAATAACTCCATTCGAATTGCCGTTGTTTCTGGACATTCAAACATATGTTTGGCATCCTCCTTTTCATGCCTGCATCTTCGGCAACATTGGCTGAGCTCTTCATTTACAAAGTTCTATACCATCTTAAGCTCCAATAGGTCCGACTGCAGTCTCGCTAGCTCAACCTAGTCCCAGCGACATGCGATGGATTTTTGTTCCCGCTTATAGGAGTACCCAGAACACACATCTTCCAGGTGCTGGTACTTAGCTCTGCATGGTGGGTTTCTGATTTCCCTCTTGATCATTGGAAAAACTCCTCTGTATATTGTTGGTCGTCCGACTCCTTCAAACTTTCTGGCCTCATTAGCAGCTTGGTCTGCTGCCTCATTTCCTTCTATTCCTATATGGCTTGGAATCCACTGGATTTTTATTGTGGCTGTGGCTTCACTGAACTTGCGGCGCAAATAATTCAAGTCCGAGCTGTTGCCTAGCAGCCCCTTGCAGAGGGACTGACTGTCAGTCAAGATCAGCACATTGGTTCTGCTGTAGCAATTGTCAGCAAGCCATTGCGCAGCAGACATCATTGCCTGGCATTCCTTGTCATAAGATGGTGTAAGGAATGCACCTTTAGTTTTAATAATTTCTGTTCGTGGTGGTTCATCATTCATTATCACCACTGCTGCTGCTCCACCTTCACGGTATCCTGCGACAGCCGATCCATCGGTGAAAATTGTCTCATGCGCACCAACCTCTGTACCGTGATCACATCCATGGCTGCTTCACGTGCCTTTATAGGATCATCACCTTTTCCTTTTACTCCTCTCAGTTCGGTCCGAATTTCGATTTCGCCATGGGTCTCCCATGGACAAGCTCTCCCCAGATTGATCGGCCATCGATTCTCTGCTTCTGGGGAGAGCTGGTCTGCTAGATCGGTACCCATGCGAAACCAACATTTCCTGCGGCAAGCCGTCTCCTTCACGATGGGGAGTATCGTTGTCAAAGAAGACATCCACAACCAATGGGGAAGATCTGATGATGATGATGATGATGATGATGATGATGATGATGATGATGATGATGATGATTCTTAACAACGTACATAAAGTGGAATCCGTTATTCAACCGAACAGTTAATCCAAAAACAGCGGTAAACCAAAAGAACACAGAATCCTTCATTTTTAAAGAGATCTTTCTAAACCATAAGAACTCGTCAGCTAAACTGAAAGAAAAAAAACCCCAGCTGTCCCACACAGATTTCGGTTTAAGCGGACCCACTCATGTATCTTAAAACATAGTGTTTTTTTTGTAATGCGGCTAGTCTAGTATTGGTTGTATAATGGTGGAACTTGGCAGTTGGATATGCAGGCTGCAGGAATTCGACCACTCGTGAGGGAAAGTTTACCACAGTGTTACATGTAGGCCCTATCGAGTATCGGTAGGCCTAGGAGATTCAAAGTAAGTCTTACCCAGAGGGAGTCGGCCTTGACAGGCAGGGTCCAACAACCCGCCTCCAAAAAGTGAGCATAATTTGTCGTATCACATGGGGTGCGAAAACTTTTACAAGTTATACCGGTGCATGCAATCAATTTTTCATAAAGTGGTGAGGCCTAAATCATACTTCACCACAGCTAGAGCCATTGTTTTTGTTTTGTTTTGTTGTTTTTTTTGGTGTGTTTTTTTAACTACTAGAAAGTCTACTCGTAATACTAGTACTATAATACGTCATCTTTGCCTGGGCCTCTGTCCTTACTATGTTTTGTCTTATATATCGTGACATAGAAAACTGGTGTCATTTGTGAGGCAGCGTGGTGAAATCAGGTGCTCGTCAAAATACAGGAATTGGAGGAACAGGCATTTTTCCGACAGTTTGGACATTTTTATCGTATTTTTACTTTTTGGCTCAACCTCTTTTATGTCCATATAGAAACACATTTCCATGTGAATTTTACTGAAACACATTGATCAATGGCACAAAATATATCAGTTTTCAGTTTTCAAAGACTCTTCAGCTATTAGATTTACCAAACTTTGGTGGCCATTTTCTCGCTAATTTCACCACTGAAATCAAGCGACCTTACTTCCTTCAATCGCAAATATCTTGAGTTCTATTCAAGATGGATATTTATTCCGTTGGAAGCCAGGCAAATAAATCAGCTTTCAGGTGATACCAATAACTCCACATGTCCAAAAATTGATGAGAGCCTGATTCCACCCCCTTGTGACACATTTATAGAACCATTCTGTCAATACTCTCATTCTTGGAAGTATTTTGTTTTTCAAGCCAACAAAATCCCCAATGACAGGCGTACAAAGTTCAATAGTAATGAAACAAAGCTAAACATGAAATTCATCAAACTATTATTACATTTTCAACAACGGTACTTTTGTTTACCTGTGTCAACTGTTAACAATAAAATGATTGAAGCATGGCTGATAAGCATAAATAGGCTAAATGGAAAGGGGAAGGGAGTATTATCTCTCACACTAATGCTAATCCGTAATCTGAATGTGATCTGAATCAGATCAGTATCAATAAAAATAAAAGGTTTATTGTTTTTTACTTCTCTTCACTCAAACTGAATAAGACTTTGTTTTCAATGAAATAGTCACTCTCTAAAAGTGTCATATTGAAAACATTCATATGGTGGTACTTTATGCGACTTCATTCTATGTGTGGCGTTCTTCTGAGAGAGATACCGGGTATCTGGTACAAATCACTCTGATTTATCATGACACGTAAGAATCAAAATCAATTTTGATTCACCGTTTCGCCACATGGTCGACACAAACCACCTCCTTTATGAGTATGGATCTCGAATCATAGGGGTTGAGGGCCAATACAGTGGA